TTGGCAATCGTGGGTCTTTTGTGATTCCATATACATTTTAGGATTATTTGTCTCAGTTCTGTGAAAAATGTCCTGGGTAATTTGATAGGGATCGCATTAAATCCGTAGATTGCTTTGGGTAGGATGGCCATTTTAACAATATAGATTCTTCCGATCCAAGAGCATGGGATATCTTTCCATTTCTTTAATTCATCTTTAATTTCCTTTATCAATGTTTTATAGTTCTCAGCACATAAGTTCTTCACCTCCTTGGTCAGGTTTGTTCCTAAGTATTTTATTTTCTTTGAAGCAATTTTAAAAGGGATTGTTATTTTACTTTCCTTTTCTGATATTTCATTGTTTGTGGAAAGAAATGTAACAGATTTCTGCATGTTAACCTTGTAACCTGCTACCTTGCTGAATTCATTTATTAGCTCTAGTAGTTTTTGTATAGAGTCTTCAGGGTTTTCTATATTTAGTATCATGTCATCTGCATATAGTGACAATTTTGCCTCTTTCCTTCCAATTTGGATCCCTTCAACAAAAGCTTTCTAAAGAGCAGCATGACTTGAGGTAATTTCTTTCCAACAATGCTTTTTCCCTCTCCTTTTGAGCAGTCTTTGGTATGTTCGTCCCCAGAATACCACAGGCCAAAGTGAAGCAAAATATTCCACACTTGAGTTGAGCAAATGGGACAGTGTCCTGATTAGTTAAATATGCTTTGGAAAGAGTTTTCAGCCCTGATTAAGTTCTGCTGTAAATAGTGGGACCCAGTTCCTCCCAGGGAGGCAGCTTGTTTTAAAGCCTCCAGCCCCAGGACTCACTGAAATGGAGGAAGCTGCATCCAAGGACCTTCCCACCCTCAGCCTTCTGTGGTGAGAGGAGGGGCTGGGGGCAGATAGTCTCAGACGTCCAGGCCAGCGACTCTCAAACCATGATGCTACCCCGGGGCTCTCTGTGCTAAGTCACAATCACACTTGGGAATTCTAATTAGGACGGAATTGTTTTTACTTTTAACCACCAACTATTGCTAAAAAAAAAGAGAAAAAAAGTACTTAAAATTTTTTGTTTCATATAAAAACTTCCTAGATTATTGTTACTTTTCTTTTGTCTTTTTGTGATTTTTTTTTTAAGTTCTGAAGACAAATATTATTTATTGCAGTTATCAGACAATGGACAATGAAAAAGAAAAGGATGATTAAGAAAAAGAAAATAATTTGTAGTAGTAATTCAGAATAGTATGTAGTTGATTACCTGGTATTTATTAGTAAGTCTTTTGGAAGTAATTTATTTATTGGAATTTTTTCTTAAATCTATAATACCTGCTTATATCATCCGTACTTAAGTACAGTGGAGAACACTGGGATGTCACACTTGCCTTAATACCTTTTACCCTTACCTAGATATATTTTGATATTTTCTACACAAAAAATATATACTCTGTATGTATTCTGAGGAGGTACATACATATTCTGTAAAAAACCGCATAGTTAAGTTGTGAATATACTTAACCATAATTTAAAAAAAAAACCTTGTGAAGGTATTTATCTCTTTTACATTGTTAATATGAAATTTTGAGGGAAGATGGTCTATTTGAGACTCAGTTAGAACCATTGCTAATATACCCCAGCAAATGCAGGCTGGGGAGCAGCTGTGCGCAGATTTAACACAAAGGGAGATATATGTCAGGATTGATTCTTCCCAAAGAGTTATGGAAAAGAAAACACTGCAGAGTAAGCTCAAGCAAGCAGGAATGATCCGAGTTTTCAGGCTTTCTAATGGCAAAGAAAACACTGAATCTTTCTTTGCATTACTTTCCTAGAGTAGGAAGGATGCTGGGGGGAAAGGGTGGGGGAAATCACAAGAGAAGGGAAAGGTGGGAAAAGCAGCTAGCTTGCTCCTCTGGGTCTCACTCAGGACAGGGGGCTGTCAAGGGGGCTTTCGGAGGCCCACAAAAGAGCATGTAAACAGCACAAATTCGTCTTCAAAGCAAAGAGAGGGATGAGAGGCCAGGATAGGCAGTAGTTCAACAGTAAGTAAAGATACTAATCTATATTTTGGAAAACAACTTCCTTTTTAAAAGATATTCCTGGAATCTACTCTAAAAATTATTTTACAAGAACTATTTTAAGACAGCTATTTTAATTTTAAA